AGCAGATGTATGAAGGTGAATCCGTCCGAGCGGTGGAACGCCGAGTCGCTCATGAGACACACATTTCTCACGCGATAGATAGGATCTTTCGTATGGAACATGGCCGTAGAAGATGCGAAGAATCGTGAAGGATTCCATCGGCAAAAAAAAGACAAACGTTTAGGGTTTATTTTGTAAACGACCAATCGAGCTTGTTCGATGTGGTTTGCGTCAGTTCGTTACTTGCTAGGGTTCAGAGACTTCGTATATTATACACGAGTATATATCTCTGATTATTATTAAATTAAATAACATCCGCCCAAAATAAAATGAGAAAGGATCCAGTGTTGATGAGAGTACGTAGTATATTACAATACAACCAATAAGACAGAGGCTGCGTTTGCTCTCTCATAAAATATTTTGGAAAAGTATATGATACTGCGATATATATGAAACGAGTTGTGATTTGGATGAACTCAATGTCTTCTTCGCCGCAATATAACAGATTCTTTGAATGCCGCTTTGATTCTTCCGCGAAGCTTGCGGCTCAAGTAACCAGATTTTAGGTATACACTACACGTGCTTATATTAAGCGAGTGGCGATATGATTTGGAGATGATAATCACTTCTCCAAAGCTTATCTTATTTTATTGTTGGTTAATTCCTTTTTCTTATTGTTCCAAGATTGTATTGATCGAATAAGATTAAAATAGAATTTAAAATCTGACGTTATTGTATTGATGGAATGTGTTTTATAAAACAACATTAAATCAGAACTTTATAATAAGAAGGGAATATATATATATATATTACTACTATATGCTTGTGGTGGCAAAGTTACAAAACTTGTATGACATGAACCAACCATGATATATATGATATATATGATATGATCCGGAGAAAAGCCCGGTGAAGAACCCATTAGTGAGCGAGTGGTTGAAAGGGTGTGGTTCGAAGGGCTCCGTCCACCGTTCGAATCCAGCTGATGGAGAGGAAGGGGTATATTTATCGTCTGAGGGGATGTGGCTCGTAGGGCCCCTCTCGGCGGTCACTCTAAAGGCTGCTTCCGGGTCCAGAGAGATGTAGGTTGGACCGAAGACCCAGTTAAACCTCCCGGTTAACAAAAAAAAAAGCCCGGTGAAGAAGTTTCCAGAAGATTTGGAGGGATTCTGTCAACCAGTCGGTTTTTCGATTGCTCGTAACAATCGAAAATTACAACCGTTTACGGTTATAATACAGTATATCATATTAAAATTTAAAACTATTAATATAATTATTTAAAATTTGTATTTCTATTTTCAGTCTATATCGTACCATGCATGGGTTATTAACTAGTGCATATTAAATTTAAAATACGACAAGATTAGTGTGATATTAACTAAGAAAACGACGTGTTATCCGAAATACTCGAATCAAATCTTTGGATACAGATATTTAAAAAAAAAATTGTTCACGTTGAGAATTTTTTTGTACTCATGAATTGTATGTTCTTTTGTCACGTTTTTTTTTTGGTAAAACTCTTTTGTCACGTTGCAATACAATTTTAATTACAAATATCATGCAATTTCTTTTTCTACAAAATATTTTTCAGTTTATTTCAGTAACTAAATATACTGTTAAATATTATTGAAAAAGATACAAAATATTGAATAAAAAGTTCAAAAAAAATTGAATAAGAAATATAGTTAAACGCATTCCAACCGTGGGCCGACTTAGTCCGGATCTATGAAACATGACCCTAAACTATTGGGCCCGGCCCATTTGAAGATGCGTCCCCGAAAGGAATATTCGAAAAATCATCCTAAAGAGGCTCTCGACTCGGCTAATGCCATTCTCAAGCCAGATTTTTCTTTTTTTCTATTTTTCCTTGTAATTTCAATAATTAATTAATCACCCTAAAAAAGTTTTTGAGAGAGCAGACAAAGAAAAAAAAAACATTCGAAATAATCAATACTTTTTTTTCTTATTTTTAAAACTTGATATCATATTTTTTTATGTTTACATGTAAATAATCGATCTAAAATAAAATGTAAAATAATTTGATCGGGATTTATGTATGTTTTTATGTATTATTTATATCAGTATATTACAAATGAAAGCAGCATGATTTAGAAACAGTCCAACATTTTAATATGTTTCGTGCTTTTTTTTTTGTTGATCATGTCTAAATACACCTTTTCATTTTAAAGACTCAACACTATTATTTATATGGTATAATTATAAATTCTTGAATGCTATGAGCATCGTGTATAATATAGGCCTCTACTTTAATGATTGAAGTAAGATATGAAGGCTAAGTACACCTTTTTTTTCCCTAACATATTGATTTTTAATATTTAGAAAATATTATAATATATTTTTTAAAATATTATTATATATTTTAAAAATGTATAAGATATAATATATAACTTGTATAGTGGTTTAAAAAGTGTATTGAAACTATTTGTTAGGAATACTGAATTTATTAACCAAAAATTCGAGATTGATTATATCAATCTATCATTTAATAATAAAAACTTTAAATTTAAAAAGGATTTAAAATATTTTCATCATTTAAGTATTTTTATAAAACAAAAAAAAATTGGCATATAATATATAGTATTATAATATTTTTGTTAGAATAATACAAAAATTATATTATTTTTTTTTACAACAATTGTAAACTTCTGTCGTATGTCACTTTCATAATAATATTATGATCCGTCGTAATTCGTAACATATTACCACGAATTATTATAATTCGAATTGTTATACTGACTAAGATTCAAACTCCAACATTGTTTTGAAAGAAAGGAATATCCGCAGAATATTATTACAAGATTCCCATGAAGGAATCTCCAATGGTATAAACCTTTCAGCTAAATAGGTAACGGACCTTGTGGACTAACTGTTTCCGATCCGACTCATCAGCCCAACTCGAGCTTACTTCTTTTTTAGCCGATGAATCGGCTCAATTTATCATTTTTTTTAAAAACAAATATATTTACAACTCATTTTTTTAATAGACCTTCAAAAATAATTTTGTTCTTTCAGAGAAGAAAAATATCATCCGATATAGTTTTGTTTAATTTTGCTTTCATTTTTTGATGTTGGAATCTATAATTCATATTTTATATCATAGTCTATAATTAACTAATTTTCTAAATTAATCATTAAAAAAAACGTTTTTTAGGGACTACCCTTAAAATGTTTTGTGTTCAACTATCTAATAATTTTATAGTATGATATCTAAAATATAACATAACATGTTGTATCAATTCAATGTCATGTTTTACCTTATTTTAAGATTTTGCAATCACAATAAAACACCGGAAATTAAATTGATATACTTTCTTACAGATATGATGAATCTACTTTTGTCTTTATGCTTTGAAGAACAAGAATGTTTATCGATATGATTTTAAAATTGGAAATAGATGCTTAAATATGATATTCAAAGAATGATAACATTGTATATAGTTTGAATACCCATTTTATTCGGTAAAGTATGAAATATATAAAAAATGTTTGATGATCTAATGTAGTGAAAATGCCTATTTATATTTCTATATTTTTATCACATCATAAACCCTTTTCAAATATATTAAGAATATATTTGCTTAGTTTATAAAATTATTGAATCCGTTGATTTTAAAATTCAAAGTCACTAAAAGATATAATGAACAAAAGATATTTACTATATATTCGAGGATCATATATCAAGTACTAGATCTGTTATTTTTTTTAAAATGTTAATACAAATATATGATGGATATTGGTATTACAAATGTTAAATGGGCTATGGTATAAACTAGCCCGACTTGTGAAATTTCAAACCCCGAATCAAGCCTGATCCATCCATTTTATAACCCTAATTGGTATTATCATACAATTGGAATAGTTTTGACTGTAATTATACTCAATTTGACAATTTGTATACCAATAAAATTTTAATGATGGTAAAAAATATATAATTTTTATTATATCATTTTGAATATTAAATAAAAATTAAATGATGAAAATGAAATTTAAAATCTTATTCAATCATGTTCAAATTCAAATTGATGTAATATTTTATTTCAGTTATCTTTAATGGGTATCTTTAATTCTTTATATACAATATATCTTCGTCAAATAAAATATAAATTTGACATCTTTGTCGGTATCCTTATCTAATAAATTTAGTGTAAAACATCTATTATGATATCTTTGACTAATGCAATATCTGTCGCATGTTATTTTTATCGTATTATTATAAATATTGAATATCGTTATAGGTATTAAAATATAATTTTAAACTCTTTAAATAGCAAACAGTCTAAGCTTCTTCCTCAGAATATTATTACAAGATTCCCTTTGCAAGGAATCTCCAATGATATAAACCTTGTAATAAAAGTTTCAAAGAAAAAAATTGTAATAAAATAACGAGGCCGCCACGTGGCGATATATTTAAAAACTAATATTTGGTTTTATATTTTTAAATTTTTCAAAAAAAAAATGTATTGAATTTAGAGATAATAAATTTCCCAGAGAAATATCGTGTATATTTTCTCAAGAAGATTAAGTCATTCATGGATCGTGAAAGTAACAGATAAATCCAGGTTAAAGATTTTTAAAAATTTCCGATTTTTAAAGAATTATTATACATTAAATTTCGCTATATGTAGTCCGACAGAAAGTTTGTTAGAAATTATATGGATAATAAGAATTATATAATGAAAATGTATTAAACCAATAATAGAATTAATAGATTTTCTGAAACAACTAATGAGCTATAAAAACTAAATACCACGGAATATTTGTGTGTTTTTTAAATTTATCATTGAATTACAGTAAAGTAGTTGGTATTGGCCATACATATAAAATATCTAAAGGAATGATACCATTTTTTTTTATAAAGATTACTAAAGGAGAAATAGAAAGATAAATCTGCCTATATATTTCTTTATGCATATTATATCAAATTCAAATAAAGGAAAATAAAACTTTACTAAAAATTAGAAAAATAAATAGAAATATATGCAAAAAAAAAAAATGAATATGCTCCAAAAAAGCAAGGAATATTCTACAATTTACGATACATGAACATCACCCGTCTTCCTCCACCAAATCTCTCGATTTCTCGTTTCGCTCTTCGCTTTTTCCATTTCTCGGCAACCAAACAGACCCAAACACAGAGATCACAAGGGAAACCAGACGAAGAAGGAATTGCCATGAAATTCGGTAAGAGCCTCAGCAACCAGATCGAGGAGACGTTGCCTGAATGGCGAGACAACTTTCTCTCTTACAAGGAGCTTAAGAAGAAGCTGAAACTCATGGAGCCCAACGGCGGGGAGAATCGGCCGAATAAACGGCTGAGATCGGCGGAGTCGAATCCCGGGGAAGGAGATCGTTCTGTGGACGCCGCCGGGGACTGGATGACGAAGGAGGTGACGGATTTCATTCGGCTTCTCGAGGACGAGCTTGAGAAATTCAACTCGTTCTTTGTCGAGAAAGAGGAAGAGTACATCATCAGATTGAAGGTAATGAAATTGATCATGTTTGGGAAAGTTTTCTGTCTCCATGAAATTTCCTCGGAAACTGAACAAAATCTCAGTATTGATATTGCTCATCGATATAGATTAGAGATCCATAGTCTTTTTCGATCTGTCCCCTTGGAATAGTTATTGAAAAACCAATGGAATAACTTATACTGTTGGATTGCCGTTTGTTTTCTTGCAAGACTTCGTAGTAATTTTGCATGCGATAATTGATGAGTCCGATGCTCAAATTGTCAATTCTTTTGAATCCGAAGATTTTTCTGGGAGCTTACATGATGGGTATCCACATCCATGGAATTAATGCTTACCCAACTGAACTGGTTTGATCAAGAACTTGACAAATGAAATTCTTGAACAAAGTTGTTACTTGTTCGGCCATTCCTGTGAGATTGTGACATATCTAGAGAATTTTCTATCAACTGTGGTCAGTCAGCTGATTTAAATTCTCTTTCGAATTTAGGAATGTTTGGAATTTTGCGTAGAACAATGCAATTTTTAGACATAACATGCTGGATTTGGAGCTTGGATTTTGATTTTGATTTTGGTCATTGCAGGAATTGAAAGATCATGTGGTGAAGGCGAAGGACTCGGACGAGGAGTTGATCAAGATCAAGAAAGAGATTGTGGATTTCCATGGAGAAATGGTCCTGTTGTTGAACTATAGTGCTCTGAACTATACTGGTGAGTTCTCTCTCTCTCGACACATGGAGTGTTTAATGTTCTTGTTACAAAACAGGACGTTAACAATAAGCTTACGCCTGAACTTAAATAGTCTAATGCGCTTTCATCTCATTGAAAATAGAATAGATTCTAGATGCCAAACCCTTTCGCCAAGTCTATTTTTGTAGCATACCCTGTGTCTGGATCTATAAGATGTGTTAGTGAGAAGAAAAAACTCTTTCAATGGACGATCTTTTAAGATTTTGCCAGCAATCAGTAGGAACTTACTCTGCTTTCCGCTCATCTATTTCAGTTGCCTTGGCGTTAGTCTATTACTTGTTATGTCAAAACAGCTTGTCTATAGATACGAGGAATATTTGAAACTAATATTGGTGTTCCATTTCCGATGGTGGCCGTGTTTATCCTGGTAAGCTTCATGATGCATCCGGGAACTTTCCCTCCAACCAAATTTTCTATGGATCAAAATCCTCTGTCATGGAGAGAATCGAATTCTCGATTGCTTTGTTTATTCGTTGGTTAATTTTAACGCCCCCCTTGTAAGGAATATGCTCTACTTTGTGTATTCGGCCACTTGTTGTATGTTCCTCTGCTTTTGAAGTACCTTTATGCTTATTCCTTGACCGTATTGAACTCGGGTCTTGCATTACCTTGGATTTATTTTCATGGAACGGTCGTTTTGCTTTATTTTGGTTAACGTAAGCTGCTTGGTTTGCAGGGCTAGTTAAGATTCTCAAGAAGTATGACAAGAGAACCGGGGCTCTGGTCCGGTTGCCCTTCATCCAGAGGGTTCTTCAACAGCCATTCTTCACCACCGACCTCCTCAACAAATTTATCAAAGAATGCGAGGCCATGCTCGAATACCTCTTCCCTTCCACCGGGAGCTTTTTACCTGATGAGGCTAGGAACTGGGATGGAGAAGAGGTAGAAGAAGAAGAAGAGCCAACAACTTCAGGGATGGTCAAGGCAACAAATGATAACCTTAAACGAATCCCCAAAGAGCTCTCGGAGATCGAGTACATGGAGAGCTTGTACATGAAGGGTGCGGTATCGGCGTTGAGGGTATTAAAGGAAATCCGCAGTGGCAGCTCCACCGTTAGCGTCTTCTCATTGCCGCCATTGCAGGCGAGTGGTTTAGAAGATGATTCATGGAAGAAGAAAGTTCCCGTCCTCGAACAAGCAGCCAAATGAGTGATAGAGAGTTCTTCTTACGTAGCAAGACGCGGTTTTATCGTATGTACCGCTCACAGGTGTTAAATGATGTTTTACTGAATCGTATATCATCACCAAGTGAACTCTCTCTTCAGCTAAAAAAAAAAACAGATTCAGGTATTTCTTAAAAGCTGATTTTTTTTTTTAATATTTTAGATTTATATTCATTTATAAATAATTCAACCTTTATATGGCAAAAGTAATTTCGGAAAAATATATATATCTTAACATAGCAGTACTTTGTACGAGAAACCCTTATTTTTGTAAACTTCACTATTTAATAATCCCTCCATTTAGTTTTGGAGTCATTTTTTTTGTTTTAAAATAAACGACGTTTTGATATTTTTTTTTTCTAAAATTATCTTTTATTAATAATAGATAATTACAATATTGTATAAGAGAAAAAATAAAGACATCGTGTTGAAAAATAAAATTTTATTTTTCTGCGTGTTGAAAAGTAAAAGAGGGAGTATTTGTTTTGCAGTGCATAATAAAAGTCGTATGATAAAAGCACAATATTCATTAATAAACATAGGTTGATTTACTTCCTAAAACTAAATGGATGGGAGCCAGGTCACCTGGTTGAGAGCATGGGGCAATTTCTTGAGGTGGAAGATCGAACCCTGCCGTCTCCCTTACCTGCTCGTTTGTCAGTCTATTATAATGAGCTGATTTATCTCCTACGCATGTATTGCAGACTCGTGTGTATGAGTTTGGGGTTTGATCTGCAGGCGCCTAAGCCCAACTACGGCCCGAACGTTAGGCGCGCCTGATGGTCAGGTTCGGTGGGAGACTGTTAAGGGTGGGTGATGGTCAGTTCGTCTCCGTTTGTAACGGTAGGTAATCACGGGTTCCAATGTATCAAAAAAAAAAAATATAGGTTTTGGCAGCGCGAACGGACCGCCCATATGGCTTACTCCTTAATCGAGTATGGGCGCTAAGCACAAGAAGGACCCACGACTATATATGGAAACTATAAAAAGGATAATATTTTTTATAGCACCAAAATCAATAATTTGTCCCCCTATAAGAAAATGATCAAATGAAGCGATGTTTACGAGAGACAGATTTCTTAGAAAAAAAAATGGATTTGTCAATTTTTACAATAATTAATATCTAAACTTTATTTTGGCTACTAAATTTCAAAGTATGATATTATCCCACAAAAATATATATACTCCTATATTATATCCTTTGAGTTTTATCCTTGGGAGATGACGTGACGGCCAAAATCAAACATGGCAAGTCGATGTTTGATCCACGGTGACACGTCATCAGCCATATTATTAATAAACGATAAGGCGAATCCGTTGGACCGACTGAATCGCCTTGATTACTCTCCCTTTTTAATATACAAAATATTTTTTGTTATTAATTAGATTTTATTTTAAAATTTCAGATAGTGATATAAAACAGACTGCCTCGATCGATCCGGATTCGTCTCGAGCCAACTGATTTTTGGTTCAATTCATTCGATCCATTTCTTACGAACTAGAAAAATTATGGCCCAAACCAAATTGTCTGAACTCTAAACCACTTTGTTAGTTAATATATTTTTTATCTAATTATCAAAAAAAAATTTAAAATTATATAAAAATAATAATTTAAAATCAACATAACAATAATTTAAAATCATTCAACATTTCATAAAATATTTAACATAACAATCTATAAAACATTTTCTAAATAAAAAAAATTAACAAAAAATCTGATCATATATCACCAAACCAATATAAAAAATATCATATACCAACTACATCAAAATATAACAAAAAATATATATTACCATCAATATATTATGAATTTTAATTTGCTATATAAACGGGAAAAAGTAAAAAAATTAAAATATAAAATCATAATATTTTTTTATTACCAGCTCACGAACTGATCGAATTAGTCCGAATGGGTTCAGATTTACTACGAACTGACTCGTTCGATTCTTTTTTATTTGATCTTTTATTTTTTTAACCCAACTTGATAAAAAACGAACCAACCTATTTCGCAAATTTGATTCATTTTTCCATCACTAATTTGAGATGATTTTAGTAAAAATAATAATTTTATCTTTAATTAAAAATATTTTAATATATATAATTTTTGTATATTTTATTAATAATCGTGAACAAATCTAAAACGATTGGGAGTAATATGAAGTATTATAAGTTGAGATATCTTTTCTACGAAAGTAAATAAGTATATTCCATACTCTTTTTTTTTTTTTTATAAAAATCGAATAAAGAACAATTAAACCGAAATATAAATAATATTAAAAATCTAAAGAAAATACGAAATATTTATTTTTGGTGCTGCTTATTTCTTTTCTTTTTCTTTTTTGTAAGAAAAACTCAAATCAAGTGGTTGTCTCTCTCCTGTTTCCCGCACGCTAATACATTTGTGCCCTCTCTGACAACCGTAGCTTAATCTTCGGGGATCAGCAATGGCTTCTTTAACTCCGATTGCCCAATCCATGTCCGTTTTCAAGAATCCTGAACTCTCAAAGCCGGGGTTTTCCTTCTTCTCGACCTTCTCGCCGTCAAACCCACTTTTTCTTCGCGCTAAAATCGGGAATTTCAGGATGCCCATGTACAGAAAAGCTCCGGCAACAGCGAATTCGACTGTGGTGATGGCGACGACGGCGGCAGAGAAGCAGAAGAAGAGATATCCCGGCGAAGCAAAAGGGTTTGTGGAGGAGATGAGGTTCGTGGCGATGAAGCTACACACGAAGGAGCAAGCGAAGGAAGGAGAGAAGGAAACGAAATCGCCGGAGGAGCAATCGGTGAAGAAATGGGAACCCACCATTGAGGGGTACTTGAGGTTTCTTGTGGACAGTAAGTTGGTATATGATACGCTTGAAGGGATCATCGACAACGCCACCTTTCCAAGCTGTGAGTACCAATCATCTTTTGATTACTGGATTTTGTTTGCATTTTTTTCCCGTTTTCCTGCAGTGAAACATGGAAATAGTTTGGTTAAGGTTTTGATGAGTTGTTGATATGACATTTGGAGTTTATTATCCATTAGTTGCGATTCATTCATGGTAATGGAGCAGTGACATCCATGGCTTTTTGATAAAGATAATGAATTTGATTAGCTTTGAGATGGATTCTTCACTGAGCTAGAGATGGAATTTCTGGGAGTGCTGATAGATAGAGAAGTAGCTTCCAAGGGGTTGAGGATTCTCTTGATTATGTTACCCTTATTCCATATAGATGAAAACCTCAATATGAATGATCATCTTTAGGTTGCTTAAATCTTCCTTTTTCTTAGCTTCTGTTTGGTTCATTTTGTTTCGAGGATTTTCGTTTCCAACGCCGTGTTTCTTGGATTGACATCTTCTTTAGGATATGGTTTCCGTCATCAGTTTTGAGGTTGTGGGATTCCTCTTCTTAGGTGGATTCAAGCATTCCCCGACCATTCCTTGGAGTAAAATTTCCACTTATGTCTTAGTATTGGTCTCTTCATGGGCTTTGCTGTCTGTTTGTGGAGGCTATAAGATTTAACCAGCTTCTTTTTAGATTAGTTTCCCCCACATGTCTACTGAGAAACACTCAATAGAATGACTTCTATGGTAATCTTACTAATCTATACAACCATTCGACTGGGTTGGTTCCTTCTGGTATAGGGTTAATGTTGAGTAACAGCAAGGTTTGCGTTTACTCGTACTTTGAGATTTAAACTTGACTTGCACTGAATATTCAATCAATCTTAGCTTCGGTTTTGTTTTTCTGCGGGAAAGTCCAACGCTTTTTCTTTAGTTCTTGGTGTGATATATGCCACATAAAGCCATTCATATTCATAATGGATGATAGTGCGAGGGCCGTTGGACAAGATCAAAGAGAGATCACGGATATGAAAGTTTGAAAATCGATATTATGGTTCCCAAATGTATTGGAAATGAAAACCGGATCCAAAAGAAGTGTTACAGAGAGGGGCACTTTATCTCTGTGATCTTTTTCACTCTATCTATTTTCATGTGAATGCGTCAGAATGATATGGATCTATGTGATATTTGTATGACCTGTTTCCCCAGATGCCGAGTTCAAGAACACGGGATTGGAAAGGTCAGAGAAATTGGCTAAAGATTTGGAGTGGTTCAAAGAACAAGGCTACGAGATTCCCGAACCATCTGCTCCTGGTAAAACGTATGCCGAGTATTTGAAGGAGTTAGCAGAGAAGGATCCTCAAGCATTCATCTGCCACTTCTATAACACATACTTTGCCCACAGTGCCGGTGGCCGAATGATCGGGAGAAAAGTAAAAAATTTCTCGTCTCATTCGCTACGAAAATCAGCTAAATGCGAACCCTTTTTACTGAAGATTTACGATTTTCACAGGTTGCAGAGAAGATCCTCGACAACAAGGAACTCGAGTTCTACAAATGGGACGGCGATCTTTCTGAGCTGCTGCAGAACGTGAGGGAGAAACTGAACAAAGTCGCCGAGGTAATATCGTTCAGCGCATCATCGTTGAACATTTTTTATAAATCTAACTTGTTGAACGGAATGCGGGCTTTGTGGATATCAATGTAACCCGAGACAGTGCCTCACATGTTATGGCAGGAATGGACGAGAGAAGAGAAGAACCATTGTCTGGAGGAGACCGAGAAATCGTTTAAGCATTCCGGGGAGATTCTCCGACTGATATTATCGTAATTTAACTCGGCGTTCGATCCGATCCTTGATACAGTAACAGCTTGTGACATTGTTCATATTTCTTTCTACCTACAGTTCTACGTTATCATCAAGATTATCCTTCTGATGGCTAAATCACGTTTCTTCAGCCTGTTCTTTGACGTTGTGGATGCTTCTTGTGCGATCTTTCCTTTGTTTCATATTTTAACAAAGGTTCTAATACCATATAAAGAAGAATGTTTTTGTGTATTGATATAAGAGAATTACACAGTCGTGGTATAGATGCACAACAACAACAACATCGCCTCATGTCTAAATTCATTTGGGATCGGTCGTATGTTCTTTTTTTCCATTTATTTCGGAATATAAAGTATATTTGGGATCGACCGTATAAATTTTTTTTTTTCACTCATTTCGGAATCTAGAAAAATCCTAATTGCATTCAGTTACCTTGCAGTACCCTCATCTTGCTGTATTTCGTAGTATACGATTTTATGATTTAGATTCGGTTTTTATTTAAAAAATTATTTATTCTCTGAATGATTTTTTATATCTATTTTGAATTCGATTTGATTTTTAAAAAACTTATTTCTAATCGAGTCTAAAAAAACATTTAGGTATTATTTAGTTTGCGTTTTATACATTCCAATTTTAATACATTATGGAATTTTATTCAAAATCTGGATATTTGGATTAGTATAAAAAATAGAGCAAATTAAATGGTTTAGTTCAATCCCACGAGTCGAGACAAAAAAAAAGTGGTAAGATGACAATAATACCCTTAAACTGCAAAACGCAACAACGGTGATTGGACAAAAACTTGTTATTCCAATTCAATCCGTAACGAAATTGAAACAGATCGAATTGAACTGAATAACAATTGGTTTGATTCTAATTTAATACATTTTTTACAAAACTGAATAAACATTTTTCGAATTCAACCATTCAAATATCGAACCGAATCCGAGAAGTATCCAACTGAAATCTAAATTATTCACCGATACATGTGTAAATATTATAGTTTGGTTGGTCATCATGTAGCAATATCATTTCGTACCGAACCGTTTAATATTCTATTTGAATTTGGTATCATTTTATAAGATTAACAATAACGTGACTGAACCATTTGAATACCGAACCGGAAATAACCAGACGACCGCACCTATCCATCCTAATTCCTAAACCACGTGAACCTCATGTTAAAGTCTCGAAGTACTTGCTGTCCAAATGCTCCAACTAAAATCCCAACCTTCCCCCTCTTCCTCTTCCCATCAAAACCCACCAATACAACCCAATTCTGCTTCTGCAAATTAAAAAAAAAAAAAAAAATCTCGGTTTCTGGTGAACAAAATGCCGAGGTTCACCATTTTTCTGCTTCTCCTGTCATTATTCGGATTCACGTCTTCCTTCGCCAGATCTGTCATCGCTTCGAAACCTCGGGCGATCGAATCTTTCGTCCCTAAATCGGATTTGCAGGTACGAGGTTTTAGATCGAAAAATCCAGTCGACAGGACAGCTCAGGTTGTCTGATGATTTTGTCTTTTTTGTTTTCTGGGTTTTGGTCAGAATGCGGGGAGCTGTTCATACACTGTGATCATCAAGACAAGCTGTTCTTCTGTGTCTTATACCAGAGACAAGATCAGTATCGCCTTCGGTGATTCGTACGGCAACGAGGTCAGTTTCTGAAAAATTTCCCCCTTTTTTTTTCAAAAGATTTTTTGGGGTTCTGGATCTGAAACGAACAACTTTTCGATGATAAAAAAGAAAAAGACATCGATCGAATATTCTAGATCTTGGGATAGATTCTGTTGTACACGCTACTACTCTGGTTCTTCCGGGAATCTCTAGGGCTTTTCCCTCACTTTTCTTGGTGTTTTCTCGGCAGCCAAACATATTTTTTTTCAGAATTTTAACGCAAACCCATTTTGGAAAATCAAACAACGGTTAGTGGGACGAGTCAAAGTTTTTTACTTTCTGACAAATCATGCTTGCGTTTTGAGATCCAAAGAAATTGGATTAGGTCTCAAAGACGCGGAAATCAACGCAGATAAGAACCACGATAACGGAATTGGGGGATTGGTAGGGA